AACAAACACTGAGAAATCAAAAAAAAAGAAAAAAGAGAGCCTTCATATAGCATAACGTGAGGTAAACAAAATGAAAACAAAACAAAAAGAAAAGTAAAACTAAACTTGCTGCCGGTGACAGTGCTTGCATGTTTGTTTGCTTTTTTTCCCCACAAGAATACCAACATGTTTACCTTCTCTGGTTTAAGAAGCGGTCTTTTACAATGTCACTATGACAGACTGTATTTAAACTCATCTGTGGAGGTCATAAACATTTTATTCAATATTTTTTATTTTTTTATATGGCACTGAATCAGCCATTTCACAGGACAGATGTTTACGCTATGATAGTAAATCAAGTAAATTGGAACATCCTGTGATCATCATACATTTTCATTATTTAGAAAAAAAAATCTAAATTTTCATAATTATAATTTTTATTATTTATTAAAAAAAAACTTTGCTTATATTTTCCCTGTAGGTCTAACAATTACTGTGATATATTTCAGTAAAGGGCTACACAGTCTACTTCAAAGAGTATTAAATGTTGATATCTCCCTCTTTCTCACAACCTGCTTCATCAAACAAGGTTATGATACTCACTCAATATGTGTCTCATTAATGGAAACACTAGCTTTTTTTAGGCTAGACATCATTATCAAACAGAGTTTACAGTAATAAATTAAACCTGGATCATTTCAGACATGTAAACATAGCTTTATCCATTCTGTTATCACATCTATTATTTTCTGCCAAAATCTCAGTAAATTTAGCAGTTTACATCCCAGTTAATTTAGCATAAGCATACTGCTCTGTTGATCGATAGGATGCTCAGAGAAGATAGAGAAGTATGTCATAGTGTTGCCAGATTGGATGGACGATTTCCAGCCCAAAAGCTCACAAAAACCCGCCCACTCCAACAAAAAACCGCCCAAAACTTTAACTGTCAAAATAATGTGATAGAATATGTCAGTCAAGGTTGATAAGAGCCATTTTAACTCCTTAAAACAAAAAAACAAAATAAAAATAATATAAATATAACCTTAGATAAATTTCCCATGGATCAAATTGTGGCAAATACATTAAAGATAATAAGATAATTTGATTAAATTATGCAAGCAGACACTGTCAAAACAGCAATCAAGAAATTAACCGATACCCTCGAAAAAACACATGCATAAAAATAAATATAGATAATAAACAAATTAATATTTTTTCTTTATCCTTTTTGTATTAAGGTTATCAGCGGCAGCTGGTTTACCGTAAATCAGATGGATCCTACGCTGCATGGAGACACAGACCGAGCAGCACATGGTATTTTAATTTCAATCAGTTTTATTTGTTTTGATTTATTTTCAGTCTCAGTTTCTTCTGTAATCATTTATTATCATTATTATCTTTGAATATTATTGGTAGCAAATTATTACTTGTAACTAATTTTCATTTGTTTCTGTCTGTTCAAGGCTGACAGCATATGTGGCTAAAGTCTTTGCCATGGCCAGTGATTTAATTCCTATAGAGGATAAAGTGCTCTGCAATGCCCTTGAGTGGCTGGTTCTGCACAGACAAGTACAAGACGGCTCCTTTAAAGAGGATTCAGCTGTAATACATGGAGAGATGGTGGTAAATGTCACTATGACAGACTGTATTTAAACTCATCTGTGGAGGAAAACAGGAATGGCAGCTATCAGTAAAACTGCATTAAGTAATTACAGTGACCTACAATTAATGTGTAAGATGAAATTAATGTTTGCTAAACCCTTATAGAATTTGAAACGTTTGTCTTATTTTTCCTTGAAAGAGGGTCATAAAAATTGCATTCTATTTATTTATATATTTTTAATATGGCACTGAATAAGCCATTTCACAGGACAGATGTTTACACGATGATAGTAAATCAAGTAAATTTGAACACCATGTGATCGTCATGCATTTTCATTATTTAGAAAAAAAATCAACATTTCGCAATTATGATTTTTATTATTTATATTTTCCCTGTAGGTCTAACAATTACTGTGATATATTTCAGTAAAGGGCTACACAGTCTACTTCAAAGAGTATTAAATGTTGATATCTCCCTCTTTCTCACAACCTGCTTCATCAAACAAGGTTATGATACTCACTCAATATGTGTCTCATTAATGGAAACACTAGCTTTTTTTAGGCTAGACATCATTATCAAACAGAGTTTACAGTAATAAATTAAACCTACATCATTTCAGACATGTAAACACAGCTTTATCCATTCTGTTATCACATCTATTATTTTCTGCCAAAATCCCAGTAAATTTACATCCCAGTTAATTTAGCAGAAGCATACTGCTCTGTTGATCGATAGGATGCTCAGAGAAGATAGAGAAGTATGTCATAGTGTTGCCAGATTGGATGGACGATTTCCAGCCCAAAAGCTCACAAAAACCCGCCCACTCCAACAAAAAACCGCCCAAAACTTTAACTGTCAAAATAATGTGATAGAATATGTCAGTCAAGGTTGATAAGAGCCATTTTAACTCCTTAAAACAAAATAATGACGACAAAATAATATAAATATAACCTTAGATAAATTTCCCATGGATCAAATTGTGGCAAATACATTAAAGATAATTACCAAATATGATTAAATTATGCAAGCAGACACTGTCAAAACAGCAATCAAGAAATTAACCGATACCCTCGAAAAAACACATGCATAATTTTCAAAGTCAACAGTCAGAATTTAAATGCAAAAAAAGTGCCCAATATACAGGTAAGTGTTCGGAAAAAGCAAGGTAATTAGGTATTTCCCACTCGTTTATGCACACACATGACAGTCAAAACTGTGTCATTCATTGATGCATACTGTATGATAATCCGACAATAAAGAATAAACAAATAACAACAACAATAATGTGCTTCGAGTCGCTCTATAATTTCACATAGAACTAGAGGAAGTATTTTGTGAAGTTCATATTGTAGAACATTACAGAACTTTGCACAGAACAAAGCTTTCAAGGATATACCGATCTGGACTGTTTAAAAGATTAAAGACAGCACTGTCTGGCAACACTGATGTCCTCTGTCTGCAACCTGCAGGTATTACAGCCAGACACGAAACTCGACATCGTGCAGCCAATGATAGAAGCAGAATATCCAGCTGGGTTTTTTAAATGTTTTTTATTATTATATATTTTTAATTGCACTATGTATTTGTGTGTAGCAGGTTACATTTGCTAATTCAATAGGAAAACACATTTTAGTGATATTTAGTTTATTTGTGCTTTATTCCAGGGTGACGTACAGGGCAAAGATGCTGATGCCTCTCTGACGGCCTTTGTCGTGATTGCCATGCAAGAGGCCAGAGAGATCTGTGCTGAATCAGTTGCTGTAAGTACACCTCGTTCACCATTGTATTTACCAAAAACATTAATTTATAAATGAACAGTAGATTTTTTTCTTTTCTTATTTGTTTTAATATCATACACACTTTTATAGAGTCTGAATGAAAGTATCAGGAAGGCTGTTTCTTTCTTGGAAGGTCAACTTCCACAGCTGACCAATCCTTACGCTGTTGCATTAACGTCCTACGCCATGGCCAATGCCAACAAACTCAATAAAGACATCTTGATGAAACACTCCTCCCAACTAGAAGGTCAGTTAAGTCATTAAAACAGTTGTGTTTTGTACAACATGCAACATAAAACAAGTCCAAGAGGACTGAAAGCAACATTTTGTTGTGTAATGTTGTTTGTTGGTATCAGTACCAAACAATAATAGTTACCAAATACCAAATAGTTCTTATGGTAACCCATATTCAGACTTTGTGCCCTGCATTTATCCCATCCAAGTGCACACACACACACACACCATGAACTCACACACGGAGCAGTGGGCAGCCATTTTTGCTGAAGCGCCCAGGGAGCAACTGGGGGTTCGGTGCTCAAGTGCTACTCACACGTGGGTATTGAAGGTGGAAGAGAGTGCTGTTCATTAACTCCCCTTACCTACAGTTCCTGATGGTACTGAGACTCAAACCTGCAACATTCAGGTTACATGTCCGACTCTCTAACCATTAGGCCACAGCTGCCCCTTTATAATCCTGTGTTGTGTTTGAAACAGCCGGTCGGTCTTGGACTGTCCCTGGACAGCACCATCACTCACTAGAGGCGACGGCTTATGCTGTGCTGGCGCTTGTGAAGGACAAAGACTTTGATAAAGCAGGAGAAGCAGTGCACTGGCTGAACAGACAGCAGTCTCACTATGGAGGATCTGGCACCACTCAGGTACACTAACACCTCATCATTTGACTGTGATGAACAGCAGAACAAGTGCAGGACTGACACTGCAGGACAGGATTTGAATGCTTTTCTGTCTTTTCTAGGCGACCATCATGGTGTTCCAGGCATCATCCATCATTTTTAATTGCCTACATCAATAGTCTCGTGTTTGGTCAGTGAAATCTTCAGGTATCTCTGTTATATCATGGATTTGATTCTGATGACTCGAGTATGTCTGCATTCACTCAACAGGTGGACATAAACCAGGAGTTCAATGTAACTGCTAAAGGAACTGGAACAGCCACTCTCTCAGTGAGTGTTCATGAGCGTTTATACAGTCAACAGCAAGATTAAAGTGTTTGAACATCTAATCTGAGACGTGCTGCTGTTTTCAGGTTCTGACGCTGTACTACGCCAGACCTGTTGAGAAGAAATCTGACTGTACTTTCTTTGATCTGACTGTTAAAATGGAGAAAGACAATGAAGGTAAGATTGAGTTCCTGCCCTTTCTGTGGCACTTTCCATAAATTCAGAGCTAAAATAAAACCTCCAAAACACTTCATTATGTGCTGCTTTTT